TGTTTGACGCCTACTTCGGCGTCTTGTTTCTCTCCAAACTCTTACTCAGTAATCATCGCTCACCAATCCAAACCGCGATTTATCGGTAAAGAGCACATTTCTCCACTCTGCCAATCGCCAGTTTTGATGATTGCCGAAGTTCCCATTGTAAACGGGCTCGTAGAGGCCTTCTGGACCGCAATCCTGATTATAAAACTCATCTGCGGATAGTAGCACTTTATATCACACGGTTATACGTTCTCTGGAACTGATATCTTTGTGCCCGTAGGGTGACTGAACGCTCTCTAAGTGATCCTTATAAAAATGGAATTTTTGCAGCATCACAATTTTAAAGGGGTAAACAATGTTTTTTAGTATAATTAAAACACATTTTGACTATTGCGGATCAATGCTTTATTTTGGAAACAAGACTGACATCGATGAGCTGCAAGTACTCCAGAATAGAGGAATGAGAACTATTTCGAATCTCAGTAGACATGAACCAATAAGATATGTTGAAATATCTCAATTGGATTGACATTGAACATAGTTTCCAATCTCAGCTTTTTCTTTTTATTTATAAGATAGAGCAAATTCGTCAACCTTTATATTTGCAGAATTTTCTAAAAAGAAATAGTGAAGCTCATAATTATCATTCCAGGCATCATCACGATTTTCATATAAATGTCAATGTAATCATTTTCATAAAAATGATTACAAAGAACTCCACACCATTTGGTTCCATTTATTTGTTTGATAGGGGCCTATCATTGCTGGCTGGGATAACGTGCTGGCTGTTGAAGTAACGGTTGGAACTTTGGGCGAGACAAGAGGAGTGTTAATAAACATTTATTAAATAAGTTGAATTAGAGTAGTTATTGTAAGGGGGGAAGCATACTATGTGCTTGTGTATGTTATTGTAAGGGGAACTACATATTTTCTATGATTGGTTCTTTTTTCCAAATAAACTGAACTACTGACCTGAACTCAAGCAAGCGTATACATATAGTATCCTCTTCAGGTAAATGACGACAAACTTAAGTCACTTTGCTTACTTCATAGCCTATATGTATAAGTATAAAGCGTTTAGTATCTGAAAATTAATTGTACAAATCTAAAAAAGTATTAATAAAATGCCCTTCTGAGAGAAACCGCAATGCAATACAATAGCGGTGCAAGTCACTGCTCGGTTTTTAACACTATGCTTCAAATGCAATTTAAAAATCATAATTTCAACCCAGTATTTGGCTCAGTGATGTACCAAATTAACTTTCTGGGTGCAGGTTCTCGAAAATACGTTTCCTCTCGCCCCACCAATTATAGCAGCAGCAAATTCATTGATCCATCTAATTTTTAATATCCATTGCAGCTTTCATTTTAGAAGAACACAGCAATTCCAGAAAATGAAAATGTAAATCTTTCATGTTTCGGGCTTTGTGCAACGCTAGCTACACTACTACCGTTAATTGCAAACGGCGTTTCCGTGTTTCATATTGTTGTGGCATTGTTCGAGCTTGTTTAAAGTATTTTAGAATTTGGGAAAAATACGATATGATTTTAAATAGTTGAAATGTATGTGAGGAAAACTCTTAGAAAACCGCTCATTTAGGTACAACAATTCACAATCTTAATCGCACGGAATGAAAATGAAAATACAATGTTTAATAAAAAAAGAAAAATCATCATATGACCCATCAGATCGATTGACGATATGGTGATGATCAGTGTTTCCAATTTAATAAGAATTGTAGGGGAAGATCGAAGTTTTGTATTACTTATTTTGCAGTGTGATCCTACATAGGTACCAGTTCAAACATCTGACTGAGGAAATCGAAACTAAAAATTGAAAATTCTTAAAAGATAATTACGCCGGAGGGTTACAGATTGGCATTGTTCTAACCTGACGTAACTTAGATATCTATTGGAAAAGCTCAGGAATGCTATACTTTTTGAAAATATCCAGGCGCGTCAGCTGTAAAGAAGGTGCTATTTGTCTAAACAACGAAAAAAAGGAAAAAAAATGTTGAACTCGCGATTTTTCCAGGAAATAAAGCCATATAACTCGGTAAGTATACAATTTGGAGAAAAATGTATCTTTATGAGTTGGTCCAATACCCGTAGACTTGAAATGTTTGCTTTAGAATGCTTGAAAGTGCCAAAAAGTAAGTAAAAACAATGTAATTTTAAATTATTTATTTAACAATGAAAAAATAAGTCAATCACGCGTCATTTAGAAACAAGTACAATACAAAACAAGAGCCGCAAGGCTGATTAAGATGGGACGCACAGTTTTCACATACTGCCATTGTTAAATAACCTACCAGGAAGAAAATACCCTTTTTTAATTTTGTGGGGGCTCAAAGTTACGAACACATTTTTGCGCCCCCGCCGTCTGACGGATTTACAAAGTAAAGCCTGAACCACGTAACAAAGGCGTTTGGATAAGGATGGGCGCAAACATGCCCCCGGCCTTGAAAACACA